GCTCATCCAGAAGGCTGTCAAAAGAGTCAGCCCGACCCGAGGTCTCCGCCTCAGGCCCTCCTAAGAGGTTATCTAAGCTACCCGAACTACTTGAACTAGACATCGCAAAAGGAAAAGGAAAGGAAATTGAAAAAGGCTAAGGGGACTTACCAAGGGAACGATACCGAACTAAGGAAAGTGACGCGAGATGAGGACCTTGGCCGCAAGCTAAAGGAACGATCGCTGAATATTGGCGAAGGAAAAGTGACCAGGGACCCCACTATTTATAGTCGTTGTACCCCCGAGGTGGAATCAGTTTAGCACAAAATTTTGACGTTCGATAGTTGATAAATCGTTTGGCGTCCGCGCGTAAGCTGTACGCGACCCGGGCTGACTCTGGTCAAGCAGCGCAGATACTGGTCGAGCCAAGAGCATCGATGGGTCAGACCGGGAAATCTTCGAGCTGGACTAAGCACGCCACAGAGCAAAATCCACCCGTCAGTCCGTGAACTCCCCACGTCGGGTCAAGACCCCGGGCACGGAGAGTGGGGGGCAATTGATGGAGGTAGATTTGGCCCGACCCCTTGGTTGTGCGACACGTGGAAGAAACCGAAGTGACCTGGCAGGAACGTCAGCCCGGCACGGCGACATAGTACGGCCATATCCCAAGAAGAGGCCCGAGCTTCCCGAGCTCTCCAATAAGAGGCCCAAGCTCCCCAAAAGGAACCCACACTTCCTGGGAGGTGAAACCCAAGCTCTCCCTAAGAATCCCGAGGTTAACAGAGAAGCCCGCAAGGGGCAGAGCCCGGACTAGCCTACCTCGGGTCAGTCCGGACCATATACCGGCACCTCGAGACAGTAGGACACTCCCATTCGAACTCAAGACTTCACCTCGCGCACCATTCCGTCACCTCGGCTCCAGGTCGCGCAACTGTGAAGTCGTACCTGACAGGTTCGTACCCTGAGGCAGCACGCCTAACTGGTCTGGATCTAATAGATGGCAATCACGCCGTAACGGCCACCTGCTACCGCCATCTCAGTTGTGGCAGAGACGACCCTGACAGAGAGGACAGTGGCGGTTATGTCTGCCCCCCACAGAGGCGGTTATACCTGACTTGGCAGAAACTTGGGAGTGAGTGCACCAAGTGATTATAAAAGACCTTCTTCCCCAAAAAAAGAGGTATGTGATATTTGTGCTTTCTGGTCTTGAAATCTCTTATTTTCCCTTGCCTTCTCAAGAGTATTAACTTGAGCTTCGGAGTATTCCTACCGGGTTCCTCCCGTAAATCTCCAATTTCTTCCTTATTTCAGGCACCTTCGACTCCGTCAGAGGCAAGTTTACCAACAGCTAAGACCGATCGGATTGTGCACCATTAGCCTTCGAACCCCAATTTCGAATCGAAGGCCAATAGTAGTGGTTCTAATGCTACCAAGTACTGGTGTGCAGCGAAGAACAACGTCGAAGATTCGACTTTGTAGATGGTGCTGGATTGAGCTTGCGAAGTGGGAGGTGCCGATTGCAGGGCTCTACAGCAAGGCGGTCCCTATTACAATCCCCGGGATATCCAATCTATGGCCTCCTACGCCTTCAACGATTACGCCCTCAAGAACGGCTTGTCCAACACTACTTGCAATAGTGCCACCATCATCACTCTCACAGAGCAGTATCTTTGCAGACGATGCATCTTTCGTGTTCCAACAGGAAACCCTCCTCGACATCCATTGCTTCTGAGCAGAGTAGAGAGAACTTCTAGAGATAATTATGAATCTGCCCAGGAAAGGAGCTCAAGGTCACTCCTGAGATCATCTTCATCTACTATGACGAGGTTTCTGTTTGGGTTATTAAGGACGCGAACATATTAAACGCGACGATTGTCTAGCTGCTTTGGAGAGGAAGATAGCGTTGTAGCTAGAGCAGGCAACGCTGTACAATTAATAAGGGTAGTATGGGGATTAAAAAATATTATAACGACGGATTTGGACGAAAAATTAACAGATGGGGTCTTTGTCTCGCGGTCATAGTACAGGGGGGTCTTTGTCACAGACCCCATAGTACAGAGGGGGTCTTTGTAATTTACCCTTATTATTATTCGAATAAGCATTTATTTTTGTTTGACACTCAGTTTTTTAGGTAATTATTAAATAAATAAGTATTTATTTTATATTGTGCATTTGGTGCTCTTTTTCTCCGATAACCACTTGTTTAAGAAGACAAATTTAGGAAGAAAAATCGGTATTCATATAAAAAAAATGAGTAATAGGGCTGGATACCATGTTCATTGTTGGTTGAAGATGAGAAAACCAAAAAAAATAAAAAAAATTAGGGGAGAATGTTCACCGACCTGGATAAATTAGTTTGGTTCAAGCTTGGGAAATCCACAACATCTAGGAAGAAGAAGAATAAGGTGGTAGTCACCAAAAAAAAAGTAGAAAAGAATATTCACCAACCTGGAGTTTGTGAGAATATAGAAGAAACCATCACCGAATAGAGAAAACCCTATGTTATTTGAGCAAAGGGCACTATTGGCATTTTGAAATATAATCGGGGACTGTTTTGAAAGTAAGCTTTTGAATAAGCACTTATTTTATAAGCATTTAAAAATAAGCCAGAATTTTGGGTTTCTTGAATAAGCGTCCATTCTCAAAATAAACACTTATTTGGTGATTATTTTTCAAATGCTAGTAAGTGTTTATTGGTGTGGTTCCGGCCCAAAATAAGTGTTTATTTGAATAAGCACCTATTTTTATTTTTTATGCACTCACAAACTTGGTCATAATCTCATATATTTGGGAAGAATACAATTCCTAAGTGGTTCCAACCATACCAGTCACCTAAGAAATCGACAAACCAAATAGATTGATGATTAGGCTCAATTTGGGAAAAATACAAAACTACAAATATAAATATGCACAGTACCAATAAAGGTCAATAAATATAATATATAAAGGTTTTGCACTTTACATTTTTGCATTTATACTCTTCCTGAGTACAAATACAAATATGTACAAGACTCAGTTCAGAAAGAGAATACAGATATGTAGAGTGCAAAACCTTGTATTTTATATTATTTTGTATGTATTTGCATTCTATATATTTATATTTGTTCTTTCAAACCGAGCCTTAGCGTCAAAATATTTAATTAACTTTTAACATATATAATTATTATATAAAATATATAAATATGTATTTCATATTTATATAATTAGGTATAATTCATATCATATATAATATAAATTTCATTGGAGAGGTTTTACTCAATCATCATCATCATCACACATTACCATCCATGTCTTATCCCAATTATATGGGGTTTTACTAAGTAGTATGTAATATAAATGTGTATAAAAAAATAGGCAATATGACTGGAGCTTTTAGGTGAACTTGGGTTACTCTCCATATCCAAGGTTTTCAATTTTTTTATCAGCAACAATGTTAATGAAATTTCACATGATTTTCGTTTTGGAAAGTTGAATAACATCAACGTGAAATATAAAATGTAAATGAATGGATTTATTCCAATCAGAATTTTATCCAAAAATTTTGGATTCATTTATTGTATTCAAGCCTTCAAGGTTTAAAATATCATAACATATCCTTGTATGGTATGTTATGATATTGATTTTTCACCAAAATTCTATTGTACATAGATTTTTTTTATGTGACGGGGGTATTTTTGTGTTTAAATATAAAAACTCTCCTAAACATGTTTTACCTATACATTGCTACTTCACATGCAATATATTTGAATTAGGGTGACACAAGGTTCAAAAGAACATTACGTATCGGCCAATACATATTGTGTCCTTCCCGATATACCTCTACAAGGGGTGTTTCGGGTCAGACCATGATTCAGAGGGTATCCAAACCTTAAACCGACCCCTCTGAACCAGATTCAAAAAAATAAATATAATAAAAATAAAACACAAAAAGAAAAGCACCGATACAGCCCGATCATATTGGCCTGCATCGATATATTGAACCTTGGGGTGACATACTCGTATGGAAGAACTAAGAAGGAGTTCTCGAGCACCTCACTAGTATAAAACATTTTTCTCATAATCGGATTACCAAATCAAATAAGTTGTTTTCCTCCCCGCTGCAAGCTATCATTAGCCATTCTCAATGGCTTTATTCCTCCCTAGATCTTTTAGTAAAAAAATAATTAGGCTCAGTTTGAAACGAGTACAAACTGTAAATATTTGTATTTGCACCATTCCCAAACTGAAATTTTAGGCTCAGTTTGGAAAGAGTATAAATACAAGAATGTACGGTGCGAATCTTGTATTTTGTAAACCTTGTATTCGTAAGCCTAAAATAATCAACCTAAGAAGCTCGCAACCACATAAATAAATTATTCCGTAAAATACAAAAGCAAATAAACCATTCAATGCTGTTATCAAACGGCCCTTAGTTCTCTTAAAAACATGACAAACGCAATCTCTCTCTCTCTCTCTCTCTAAGAATAAAGAACGATCCAAACAAAACGATCGTTACCAGTTGGTAAACAAATTTTGAATCAGTAAGAGCAGAAACTTTCTTTTTCAGATGAATTTAATAGCTCCAGAGATTTCCTTTTTCCCCTGATATCTGATACTGTGATACATAGAAAATTGGCCATTGATGACATCATTACAGTTCAATGGACAATAAATAACCACATCCCTTCGAGCCCTAAATGTGTATTAAACCCATTTTACAGTGACAAAACTCATAGCCTTCTCCTGTGATATTGAAAAATAATATCTATGATATAATGTGGATGACCCAGAAGGAAATAAATGGTAGCGCAAACTATGTTCTTCCAAGAGTTAAAATATCACGTTTCATCAAATTCTTGGAGCTGCAGAGACAAATCCAACTTGCGTCACAAAACAAACCAAACAACAAGAATAAAACTACTATGACTTCGGGTTAACATAGAAAACTAGTGAAAACAAAAGTTGATAACTTGCCTCCACCAATGGTTGCTTCAGGCAACCGTTCAATTGAATACTTATGTTGAGTAATATACATGATTGGGACTCCAGGAATCTGCTTGTCATCAATTAATCTCATGTGAGAGATCCATTTGAAATGCTAAAATTAGATTCCAAGCTACCATTTAATACAAATCAACTCACTATACCTTCCGGATCCTTCGTTTCAAGTCTCGGTCACATGTGGCAACAATGTAGCACTTGTGCTGTCCAGCATAAGTGTTCATGTTAACTTCTTGGATTGGAGGAATGAGATGAGAAAATCACATAAAATAATTTCATATTAAGATAAGCACAAGACACGGTTTTCATTATTTTCTTCTCCCTTTTTTCTGGGTGCTTTCTGTTGTGTGTGTGTGGGTGCGGGGGGGGGTCATTGATGGTAAATTAATTAGTGCGCTTTTTTATCAGTAAATGAGTGGTGCGCTTTTCTATGGATAACTGAATTTTTTATTTGAAAAAATACTTTGTATAATGTTAACACCGATAGAGTTTGCATAACCCCTTTACAAAGTGCCCTGCATTCCTTCTTGACCCTTAGATGCTCCTTGCTTAGCTAGTTAAATCTGCTAGGCAGTTTGTTATATCCAATGATAAATGAGCTCAGATCTGCTGTGTGCAAAATGCTGCACGCACACTATGCAGTGTTGCCGCAGTACTGATTGGTCCAGAAAATATTATCTATCAAAAAAATGGTCCAGAAAACATTGCAATATTGTTTCTCATAGCATCTCCTATAACAGGTACACCGTACACCTCAAAGTTTACAACAAAGGCAAGGGAGCACTGCAAACATCATCCCCTTATATTAACTACCAGAATGGGGAAGCAAAAGCTAGGGCCTGGGGACACAGGATCTCTTAACCAGTATGTGGCTCCACAATCACAATTCTAATCTGTCCTATAATAGGACAATCATGCCCACCATTCAGTGGGCCCCATCTTGTAGATTAACTGGGAATAAATTATTTTTCAAATAGTGTGATTTCAATAGGATATGCTTGGACAGTAGTCAAAATTCTATTTAACTCTTTGAAAGCTCTGAAAATGAAGCACGAATCAGATGGTTTAAGAAATCTAATTATCCTGGTTTTTGCTACACCCTCTCTTAGGTGCAACCCAACCAATCATTTGTTCATATGTACCTGCCTCATGCAGGTTATGAGAGCCCCAGAGACTGCAACTAGCTGTCCTGTCACCTGTGTCCCCATACCAAATCCAATCCCAAAAGGGCAGGGAACCACACCCACAATACAGGACGGACACAAGCTTTGTACCCATCAAACAAGATTCCCCTGCTGCAATTAATGAATGCACAACAATTACTGAGTTCTGAATCATGCAAAGAGAACATATAGCAATTACTATATGGTATCAAAACATACCTGAGTAACTCTATCAACAATACAGTCATCAGCATATGTTCCTTTGTGACTACATGGTAATCTTTCAAATCTAGGATCTTTTGCAATCCTGATAAAAAGAAAAATAATAAAAAAGATGAGAGATTACTCGTAAAAAAAAAATGACAAGGGAAACATCAAAATCAAAGTCCACAATATATGTAATGTCACATATGTGCAGTCAACGTATTTACTATCACAGAAATATTCCTTGGTCTCTCAAGAATGCCTATAGGGAAGTAGAAAGGACTGCAAGAGATCTAGGTGATGAATTTAAATGAGCTAGCTGACTCTTTTTCTAAACAAGGGGTAGAAAGGGAGCAATTGTTCTGGGCATCTTTGTATAGTGTTGATTTTGGGTCTGATATCATGGTCAGCAAATCAAAATTGTACTTTTTTTCACATATTATTAGTATAAGCAAAGTTTTACCAATCAAAAGCCAACCTATGAAAGAACTAACCGCTTACCCATAGGTTGTCTTCTTCCTATGTTTCTATCATCAATTCTCCAATAGCACCCTTAATCTAAACATGACAATCACCCAATGTTAGTCCCCACTATCTAGGGTCTTGGGAGAGGAGACTGGATATGGTTTAGCATTTTTTTTCATAAAGTGATCATTCTCAGACTTGAAAACAGATTCTCGGGCTTATTAGACCAAGATTCACTGTTACAGCAAGCATTGGCCCCTCAACATCTCTTTTTCAAAATTTGCATACTCCTTTCCTTTGTGAACTAGAAAAAAGCAGTTTCCAACCTCAATTAACACGGAGTATTCCTTTTTCACCAAATTGACCGTGTGCCATGTTTCTTTGTTGGAATTGCTTACATACCTAGACCCTAGAACAGCAATGCTCCTCTAATTAGAACATTGACCTAATAGTTACATATTTCATCAAAATACCTTGGTTACTATCCCCCTTTTCATTCTGCTATGTGTCTTTGTACCCCTAAAATATGTTTTTTGTTTGCCTCCATTTTGTTCCAATTCATCCATGTTCTTTATTGTTTTTTGATGAATAATCATCCATTTTCTTTATAGCTTTTTTACTCTATTATGTCATTATGTGTCTTTGTGTCCATTCCTAATTTACCCCAAATCAACTAGATATTGTTTTTATCACAGCACGTTTTTATATCTGTGCACCAAGTACTGTGGCAATTCATCACCAAAAAGCAATCAATGCATGTTCAATGCACAAGTCCATATTCATTCAACTTAGGCTTTGCAATTGCAAGCAATTAATTGTAAATACCACTTGTCCAAGCCACTGAGTATGTTTCTTGGGTTATCCAACTTGTACTTTAAAGCAAAAAGGCAAGGAAATACAGAAGGCAATGAGATTCACAACCAACTAGAGGTCCTCTCTACATAAAATTTCAACTAATTCAACTTCTTAGTCAAAGCAGGAGGCATCCTAATAGATCAACACCACATGCCTGTTATACTCAGCACCAGATAATGTTCCATACTTATTGCAAAAATGGGAAAAGATCAATCATGCCCCCATCCACCCAAAGCCAGTGCACATAAAAAATGTATTTACTGTAATTACAGGATTTAGCAATATGCTCAAGGTATCAAATCCCTTTAATTGAATCATTTTCAATAAATTACTTTCCTTCCTTTCTTGACAAGCTAGAGTTAAATGAGATGTAAAGAAAAATTTGCCATGTTTTCATAACAGACAAGCTTCTTTGATCTTTAAGGAACAAACATCATACCAATATATATATAGGAAACGGCAACTTTCAGTAAAGAATTGAAAAGATTAGAGACTTACCACCCACAAAATGGATGGAATATCAAAACAAAAACTTACAAACAAGCCCAAAACAAAGCCTCCCTAGTAGCTCCTTGCTTAGCTAAAGTGTCAGCCATTCCATTTGCTGACCTTCTTACCCATTTAAAAATGCACCCCAATCTCCCTTGCTAAGCTAATAATCTCTCTTAGAGGCTGTCTAAGAGACCAAACTCTCAAGTTTCCAGATTGCATCCACCCTATTACCAGCTTAGAGTCTCCTTCCACTTCTAATTGCTGCATTCCCCATTGTTTCGCCAGTCTCAAACCTTGAAGTAAGGCCATTACTTCTGCCCTTAATGAATCTCCTACCCCAATTTGGCCCGAGTAAAGGGCCAAGACTTTTCCTACCTCGTTTCTGAACACACCCCCGACTCCCGACTGGCCTGGATTACCCAAGGAGCTTTCATCAAACCCACGGTTGAATTGCTCCAGATAATAACTATATTAATGCATGTTTTTAGCGTTGATGAGGATTCTTCAGCAAATAACTTAAAACATCCATTGTTAAACTGACTGTTTCTTAAATAGACTGTTGTTAAACCCACGGTTCAAAGTATCGATACACCTTTGTGTATCGGTACTTTAAACCATGCGCCTTTTAAGTTTTTTAGTTTTTTTTCAACTTTCAGTTATATATATTCATTAAAAAAATTGGGTCCCTCAAAACACATGTAAAAGGTGTATCAGGTACCCAAATATATGATATGACACGCCCGATAGGGGGTGTGCGTATCTATACTTTGAACCTTTGTTAAACCTATGTTTCATATGTTTCAATGTATGAGTTTTAGCGTTTAGAGAAAAGATGTCAAGAATTTCTTTCTCAGCTAATAACCGGATACCTATTCTCCTATTTATTTTTCTGTTGTTTTCATTGTATAACACTTTTTACCCGTCTTTCATATGTTTAGTTGTTTTTATGCACTCTTTTAACCTGTTTTCATTTTTTTATAAGTTTTTAACCTGCTTTCATTGAAAGACCATTGGTTTTACACAATCCTATTTTGCCATTCCATTCGGTTCCTTGCCATACCCATCATTTAAATTTGTTATGCTTAAATCATTTCTTATTCCTTCCACCCAAATCCTTTTCGCTCTGCCCTTAGCATAGTTTTCAAGGCGACAAGGTGCCCCCCTGTCGCCTAGGCGATGGATTTTTTTTCAAGTGAAAAATACATACCCTAGGTAGTTCCCAAGGTTCCATAACCATCTTTCCTTAATAACTATCCATAATTTTCATAAGAAAATTATAGACTTCATGTTTATGTCTAGAAAATCAACACATTTATAAGAAAAAGAAGAAAGAAAAGAAAATTCAATAAATATGGGGATTGAACCCCTATTTTTGTTATAGGAAAAGAAGAAGAAGATGTGGAGGAAGAAATGTGTTGATTAGACAAAACTTTAAGTTTTTCCCTTACTTATTGGTTTAAATTCTGAAGTCTTTGAGGGTTCAATACAGCAGTTAGCAATGTTTGTGTAGATTAAACCTTAACAAATAAGAAAATAATAAAAAGAAATTAGTTTATAAAAACAAAGAATGAATATTTTTGTTTAATAATGTCTATTTTATAATTATAATCTCAAAAAAGTAACAATATAAAAGTATTTTATAAGACAATATACAAAATTTCTAGGCGACTGGGCAAGGCGAGCCTCCAAGGGCGCCTTGTCGCCTAGGCGTCGCCTTGACAACTATGGCCCTTGGCTCTTCTAGCCCCTTCAACTTGTAACGGATCACTTTTTATAACAGGTGTTATAAAAGGTCTTTTACGCATGTGACCAAACATCGTAATCTATTTTCTCATTTTATCACCTATCGGAACTACTATTAGGTTCCTTTGTATTACCTGCCCTTCAATCCTTTCTAGTTTCACCATTCATCCATCTAAGCATTCATATTTCTGTCACACTCTTTTTTTTATATGTTGTTTCTTAACCATTCAACACTCTGCTTCATACATCATAGCTGGCCTTACAAATGTTTTATATAATTTTACTTTTAGTCGAAGTGGTATTCACCTATCACATTAGGCTCTGGATACACCCTTCCGTTCAGACCATCCAGCTCTAATTCTATATGCTACATCCTCCTTAATCTCTCCTTTGTCATAAATTATTGAACCAAGGCACCAGAAGAGGTAACATTGAGTTATCTCTTGATCTCCAATCCTAAATGTAACCAGGCTTGCAGTCCTTTTATTATTAAATTAATATTGCATTTATTCTATGTTAATCCTACTAACCATTATAACTACAAAATCTGATGTCTCTCCTACAGGTCTTTTAACATTGGTTTTGACACCCTCATACGTATCCTTAATTAGGTCCACATATGTATTTGGGACTTCTTTCTTTTCCAAATTTGATCTGTTTAAAATATCACCAAAGATCATAATTGGTTGAACCATTGGTTTGAAAACTTTTCAAAGTAAATATTTATTAGTTGTAGGGGAAAGTGCAAGGTATGGTGCTGAAGCAAGGGGTGGGAACTAAAGTACTAAACATGAGGACATACCATCAGAAGATTTTTTTTGATAAATGAATAATGGTTTTATTAATAAGAAAGGAAGTGTACATTCACCCTACGAGGAGGCACAAGATGTTACCTCCCCTTAGAGGTAAGAGCATAACCAAACGCTTAACAGAATACAATCACAAGGAAGCAAAATAATTCAACCCTTGAGACCCCTTGTTTGGCCAAAAAATTAGCTATGGCATTTGCTGATCTGATAACCCACTGAAAACTGACTATCAGAAGAAAATTTTGGCTTTGCCATTTCCGATTATATAAGGCAGAAAACCTTAAATCTTGATGAATCTAAGATACATCCGTATACTTTATGACTAACCTCAGCATTGATCAACTTACACCCTTCTACGAACAACTCTTATTAATCTTCAATTATCCAACACCTAATTTTTTAAGAAGTGTGAACTATATCATGCCTAATTTCGGTTAAGACAGCAGAGCAGAGAAAAGAAGAACAACTCTGTGAATGAAGCTCTCAGTCTTCTGCAGTTGTACATATTATTGGAAACATGCAAATGCTTAAACGATCTTATGGAAACATACCTCAAAGCAACACGGTACTTCTGACCTAACTTCTCAAGCTCTGCCATGACGCAATCAGTGATACAAGGAGTGCCTGTATAACCAATAACCAAACGGAAAAGGTTAATTAACACGAGGGAAAGATGATGGGATAAATTGGATGGAGCACAACCAAAACATGAAAGTACCGTGGTACACGTGAAACGTATATAGAAAGGTCTCAGTTAATGAGCTTCATCTATCAGGAATCCAGAATTGACAGATTCCGTCTAGAATATATGACATGATCAAGCCCCACCAACAAACAAATGCATCAAGTTTACACACATTTTTTAGTACTACTGCCAAATATGCAAAATAATACTAAAATAGATGACTGGCCAACCTGGGCGCAAGGTTCTATTGAGTTGAATGGAATATGTGCCACCTAGACGTATGCAGTGCTAGGTAATGCTTAGAACATAACCCGACAAGTACTACTATACAAAACTATTCTTCCAATGCACCAAAAAGGTGGCTTAAATTTTCCAAAGGCAATACACAGAGAAGAAAGTAAGAAGCATTAAAGAACACGGTTTGTAGGAAAATGTGCATGTTAAGTATTCTGCAAGCTCACATTTAGCATATAAGCAGTCCATCATTCCTTTCTCCAAATCCAACTGCACCAAGAAGCAAATAGTAAAGATGGTATCAACAAGCTATTTTGGTGTTAGTTAGGAAGAAAAACTAAACCAAGAAAAGTTATGTTCCAGCAACTGACTCAGTTTCTACCCTCAAAATTAATATCAAGACCGCATGTCATTTCATTTATTTATGATTAAGCATCCCACGAGATGAAATCTGTAGATTCAATGTGATTGTTTCATCCACGTAGAATGGCACTAACAATTTCCCGTAATGCCGGTGTGCAAGTTTCGTGACCAACCCCCCCCCCCAACCTAATTGTGCAATAAAAGATAAAATATTGTTACTTACCTTATTCTGAATGGAAAAATTGATGAAGTTAGTATCGACCAAAACCCTATAAGGCGGTCCCAGTGCAGTGTTGTATTTGAAGAAAAGAGCTGAAGGTACATTTGGCCTGTTATTACCACCCGCAAAGAAAACCATTTGAAAGAATGTAAATATGAGAAAAACTAAATACAAAAATTCGAAAGCACAAAGATTGTGAAGAAATAACTTACACGTTTCTGGGGAGCTTCTCCTTTTCGAGATCTTTCTTCTTAGGGTTTAGAACCTCTTCTTTGTGTCTGAATCGACCAAAATGGAAATAAGTAAGCAGGATTATCAGAAACAGATAGGTAACATAGATCACAGGGAAAGGCCAATAAGTTATAACTTACTGTTTAATCATTTTTGAGTTTACGAGCTTTTTCATGACCGCAAATTTCGGGGCTTTCTTTGCTCTTCCCATGTCTAAGAAATCAGAGGATGCACTTCAATTCCGAAATAGAATTGAAAAATCAGGTTGGCATACAAAAACCCTAACCCTAAGAAACCAGGGATAGAGCTCAACGGAGAAAAGTGTTTGGTGAATAACCTAAACGTGTAGTGGCGCAAGAAGGGAAGCACCGTATAAGAAGCGCGATCATACTAGAGCGTAGAAAGCGTCTGCGCGCCACGAACGCTTTTTATTTAGATTTGGGGTTTCGGTCCGGTCCCCTCTAGGGCTGCGAACGAGTAGGGTTGGGTTCGGGCTCGATTCGTCCAAAGCTGGCTGGGCCCCGGTCAGGATCGGCCCGATTCATTTAAAACTGGCTCAATAGCCAAGCCAATAATCAAGTTCATATGATGGAATTTTGCGGTTAATAAAGTTAAATGAAGAATCATATTGTTCGAGTTATGGTTGAGCTGGCTCCGGATGTCATGTGGCACCTACATGGCCGCCCATTTTCTCGGTCATGTCAATACCACGTCCAACAACTCCAGAGGCCTCATACAATTAGGACATGGATCTTCGGCTATAAAAAGGTACCTCCCACTCAAGACAAGGGATCCAACAACTTCTGACTAGGAATGACAACGGGGCAGGTTCAAGGTAGGGATTACATTCTCCATCCCAACCTTGACCCCCAAATCACCCCCCATCCCCCGTCCTCGATCCCCCGACGGGGAAAAGAGTCCCCTCTCCATCCCCGACTCCGATGGTGATGAATTCCCCATTGGAGACCCGAATTCCCAACAAGATATGTATGCACACTAAGAGTCTGAGGCAAAAAGATTGAGAGAGAGAGAGAGAGGGGACCTTTGCGAGAGTTGAGGTCAATGACGAAAGAGAGTCCGACGGGCGACAACGACGACGCTCAGCAACGATAGGCGAAGGTTGAAGCGACGATGGCCAGCAAGTGGCGAAAGCTACTCTTCTTTGAGTAACTCTTCTCTGTCACTCAAGTATCTTTGTCCTCTGTCCGATGTTCGACAGGCGAGTGGCAACAACAACAATATGACGATTAGCAAATCGGCGACCAGCAACGAAGACGAAGGAAGAGTGGAAGACGAAGGTTCAAAGACAAAGTCGCCAACAAAGGTTCAGAGACATAGTTCTCTCTTCTCTACGTCAAAGTGTTTTGTATTTTACTATCGAGGGCTTTAATATTTTACTATTTTTAAAGTTTTAATCTTTTAAAAAATGAATAATAATTATTATACTTATATAATATTATATTATATATATATATATTAATCGGGGATGAGTCGGGGCGAGGATTGCATTCCCCGTCCCCAATTGGGGATTCAAGGGTAGCCCCATCCCTGACCCCGACCCCGACCTTGCCAAGGTATCAAGTCAGGGAGCTCGGATACCCATCAAGGACGGGGAAAATTGCCACCCTTACTTCTGACTCCTATACTATTGCTCTTTAACTGCTCAGCCCAACCGCCCACTACCTTCTACTAATCACATATGAAAGAAGAATACGAAGTCTTGAACAAAACTACCAACAAAGGCATCAAACGGATGGGAAAGAGCTTTATCTGTGCTCTACATAATCCCTCTACGCATAAGGAAAATGGTTGATTGGTTGGAAAGTGTAATGCATGTTATATGCATATGTACGAGGTAAAAGATTTTATGACGTTCACCAAAACCAAAGCAAATAGGGAGAATGACCGTTAGGTCCACCCCTCGAATTCTTATTCTTTCGTACAGTTGGGTATGTGCCAATTCAGAATTAATGTCAATATACGAGCAGATAATGTTATTTAGGATGGGGTGTTTAACATTTTAAATTATTATAGATTTACGGTAAAATTCAAAATTCTGTAATAGGGTGACGTGTACTTATCCAAAGCAAATATAAAATCATAAAAAAATCTGATCAGATCTCATTCGAATGTAAATTCAATCCATGTAATTAATGGATTGAATTCAAATGTATCCTAATCCAATCTACTATGACTCGCTCCAATAAGATATTTGAATTTGAATCATAATTTTGGAATCCGATAGATATCAAATTCAGATCGGATATTACCAAAACCAATCCAATCCAATCCATTTGCAGCCCAAAGCAAATATCACTTTATAACAATAATACATGTTCATGGGCCAGGGCGGGCTTGGCTTTTGCCAAAACTTGAATGGGCCCGACCCCTAAGCCCAACCTGTAAACAGGTCTAATATTATTAAGTGTCAAGACTCAATTACTCAAAACCCCAAGTGTAATAGTGAAAAATAAAATCAATTTTAAATATAAAAAATTTAAGTTGTATGCGTTCTCAATAGACCTTAAAATTGTGTTTGTTTTGAACTTTTTTGTATAAAGTAAGAGAGAAACAGCATTCATCGGGACTCTGCGTTCGCTCAGATCCCCTGCCTCCTCATCCGCACGAGAGAATGGTCTCCCACGTTTGTTTTACTACTGTCCAGACAGATGGAAGCTTTATGAATAATTGCAGAGCTGGCTGATCACCTATGGTGTGTTCCTTTTTGACCAGGATAAAAAAGGGGGGATAAGAAAGAATCAAAAGAAGACTGATTTCTTTGAGGCTTTCAAGGAAATTAAAAAAAAAAAAATTCTTAGACGAGAGAAAAATAATAAAAATAACCAAACAAAACATAGAATTTTCAGGATTACTTTTCTCACAAACAGTGTTTTAAAAACTGATCTATAAATAAAGCTGCTTTTTCTGTCTGGGTGGTGTGATCAACAGTTTAACTGTTTGAGTCAAATGAGTCAATATAAGGTATTATAAATTGAAATTCAAAATATTTAAATATATTTATTATTGAAAAATTACACAAAATGGGCAAATCTCTAATATTTAGGGCTTTTTACAAAAATATTAAGATTCATTTTTTAAGGAGCACAAATATAAATATGTACAGTATAAATGCATACAAAATAATACGAAATATGAGATTTTGCACTCTATACATTTATATTTATAATTCTTCCAAATTGAGCCTAATTCGTTATGTTCTAAAACATATTATTAAAATAAAGAACGGGAAAAATATAGTTTTTTACCAAATTACCCTTTCTTAAAATCGATGAACCTAATCAATAAATTACTATTCATCACATCATCTTCCTCCTCCAAACACCGAACCTGGGCATCTCTCCTCTTTCTTGCTCCTCTCTTTTTCTCCCTCTCATATCTCCCATTTCCTTCTTTCTTTTCCTTTTGTCACGAATATAAAATTTGGTCAAAACAGCTCAAGGAATTCTCTCTCTGGCATCAACAAACTAACAATTTGATCAAAACATAACATAAGAACCTATTTTTGTTTTTTCTGCTAACGTGACAGCTCTGACATTGTCAATCGAAAGCATCTTAATTCTTTTGCACGGAAATCTAAATAAGCATTCAAATCAAGTATAAAGTAACAGTTCTGAGAGTGGGAGGATTTGAATTGTTATTTGATGAGGATCTAAAGCCCGTTCAATTGATGACCCGGAAACTGAATCCCTCTAGTCAATCTATAAAACAAAGGAGTCAATCCGAAACGTTTTGCATAGGAGAACATGACAAAGAAATTGTATATGATGAAGTCACGAGAGGTATGAACTTTGAAGCAGATGCTATTAGCTTAGCGCTGATGACCCAGAAACTGAATTGGTCACTCAACGGGGCTGCTAACAGATTGAAGGAACTCACGTAACACTATAACAGATTAAAAAAATTGTCTTCATTTGTTTTTAAAATTGTTATGCCAGAAAAAAAAAAGAAAATGGGTTATTGGGATTTTCTTGACGAAATTATTCATTCATTGATACTAGGGAAAACGGTCTTGAGTTGTGTTTTAACCAAGTTTTACATTCATCGTCTATGGTGGGGAGAGAGGGAAAAAAACAGAGAGGAGAGAGAAAAGAAAGAAGTTAAGATAGATTCTCTAGTTCAGTATTCAGGGCTCAGGGGGACGGAGACGGTGAACAGTAGCTTCTGCCTCTTTTTCTCCGCTGATTTTAACAAGGGGCAATTTGGTCAAAAGGAATTTTCCTTCTGTCCTTCTCACTCTTTTCAGAAAATGTTTTAAAACGTAACTGGTTTTGTCAATTCGTGAAACTTCACTATTTATTTATTTATTTTTTGTGAAAAGCCCAATATTATATATTTATCATGTATTAAATAAAATATGTATGATAAATCAGACTTATTGTTATGATCCACTGACCCAGTCAAATGGTTCAACCAACTGGGTCACTAGGAGGTTGTTTGGTATCGATGGTGTTTATAAGATAAACGTTTTGTATGATTTTGTCTTAAAAAATGAGACAAAATCTGCTTTAAATGTTTTGTATTTTTTTTTACACCTCAGCACCATTAGGCGCCACTAGACGCCATTAGGTGCCATATAAGCCAAATAGTGAAAAATCGGTCTTAAAAATGAAAAACGTCAAAATTAATGTTTTTTTAATAATTGGTTTACACGATTTTTGAGAGATAAACGGTTCAACCAAATAACTTTTTAGGCGTTTTTTTTTGTTAAACGCATCTTCAATGCTGAGTTGGCACCATTTCTTCCAAAAGCTACATCGATACCAAACACCATCTAGGTCAGCAAATGAATATACATTTTCTTTTACATGTGGTTAAACAGACTGAAAACATGGCATGGTAGCAGGTTGATCAGTGAACTAGCTGGTTTTGAATTTTGATAATAAAGCTCAGTTTGGAAAGAGTACAAATACAAATTTATAGAGTACAAAGTTTTATATTTTATATTATTTTATATATATTTGTATTGTACATATTTATATTTGTACTCCTTCCAAACTGAGCTTAAAGAGTATAAATACAAATTTGTATAATGCAAAACCTTATATTTTGCATTATTTTGCATCTATTTACAATGTACATATTTATATTTGTACTCCTTCAAAACTGAGCCTAAGTTGCAAATATACATCTCAATTTTGTTTTTTTTTTTTAAACTTTTTTCGTGAAAGTGGAGGGAGTAATAAAATGGGAAGGCAAATGACACTGTCCCCAATGACAGAAAATGGGTAAAGAAATGCAGATTTTTGCATCAAATAAAGATTCAGATAAGAGTGGATTATCAAATTTTTGCATCATCATTATCTAAGCCTTATACCAATTATATGGATTGGCTACACAAATCCTGTTTTGCTATTCTATTATCGTTTACAAAT